TTTCTTTTAGTACTGACCTAGAATACAACATGAACATTTTTTTTACCATTTTAAAGGTTGATTTTGTGGCTAGGAATCTCGCTGTTTTTTTCATATTGATCATTTATTGGCCTTCCTAACTGCATTTCTTGCCATGGCTTGCAGGGTTTAGTGCTTATTATTTCTAAACTAGGTGATTGTTTTGGTAATTCTCATTGCTAAGAGCTTGGCCCATGCTATGGTAATGCATCGTTTAGCCTGCTGTAATGCACGTGTGCTTGTCTTCCACTTTCATCAGTCCAAAGTCTTTCATTCCATGCAGAATATATCAGCTGAATTTACTCTTCTTCTTAATCTTGATACCCTTTAAGTTTAATTACTCAAGATTTCCTTTACAGTGAAAGTTCAGTTGAACATTAATGTCATTCATGTTCAAAACCCATAAGGCTGGATCCTGAGCTGGTACACATTGGCATACTTCCATTGAAACCAACGGTGATGTATCAATTCACACCAGTTTAGGATCTGGCCCATTCAGATATCACGCTCAACTTATTTGCAAGTAGTACTCTAAGTGTGTATCTCCTCCTGAAGTGTCGGTTCTGCAGTAGGTTGTTTCCGTGTATGTTTACTTGCTCTCCCTAAGCTGTGGGATTTTACTACTTGCCCTTTGAGGCTGCCATTGGTAGCGTTGAATGGTATGTCTGGTTTTCTCTAGCTTGAAAGCCGTCATTGACATTACACTATTCTCCAGGAGGCAATTTATCCGATGGACTGTGCTCCATCGGTACTAATTCTATATTAGCATTATTGCTGTACCAAGAGCTTTCTCTCCTAATGCAAATGGACCACAAGCACTCATTGGACTAGACGCTGAGACTGAAACCCACGGGCTGTTATTGATGTGTGGTTTTTTTTTTTTTTTTTTTTGTATTTGTATTTTATTTTTTTCTTTTTGAAACTGAGCTGTCTCAGGGAATAAAATCCTGCAGCATGTATGTGAGCTCACACACTCTCTCTCAAAGGTAGCCGACTTTCCTAACCGCTTTGTCCCTTTCTGAATAATAAACTATGACTATGGGAAAATCAAAATTGAACTTGCAAGTTTTAATTTACTTCCTAATCTCTCCTAGATGAGACACAGACTGTAACAACAGTTTTTTTATTTGTTTTTTTTTTTTAAAGAAAATTACCTAAGGCAGAGACACACCCCAAGAGTCTAATGCCTTTGTAACCAGAATTGGTAGAATGGAAAAGATCCTTCTTAATATAATGATTAGTAAATAATCCTCATGTGAAAAAAGAATACAGGCATAATGTATATGCAGCAGTGAAGTGTCAAATGATTCATTGGAATCAGAATAGTGGTTCTCTAGCTGCATGCGCTGACTCCTGAGGCCTAATGTATGTAGTACATACGTATAGCATGAAAAAGTCCTGCTTCACCATTACAATGGGTCATTTGGATTTTTACATATCAAATGAGGGGTAAATGGGTTTCCTGAATGTCTTTAAATAATGTGAACCTTCTCTCCTTTCATCTGGGCTTTCGTACAAATGTGCACATTCAGGCATGTGCAAATGTGCGTGTTTGTGTCTCATTGGTGGGTGCAAAAGACTCTCTGTGGTTTGGAATATTTTGAGTTCCCAGATGTGAGTGGTGGTGGTTATGCTACAGACTGTGCATTCCTGACAATGGTCAAAAGAAGCTAGATCCAAACAAGAATGGAGAAAGGATCCAGTAGGCTTTTTCATATATTTTCTTCTTGGGAAAGTGTAGGAGAAATGACAGAATAGAAATTCAGTTGTGTAAGTTATAATTCACCCGGGACAGCCTCTAAGGTCCTGGCTGTCATAGTAAAGGTTTGGTGGGGAAGGGGGTAGATACATATGACATAGACATGACAAGAATGCATTAAAGCAGGCCTTAGGAGTAATGTTAATGAAGAAATGACAGATGACACTACTTGCCATTTGCTATAGAAGATGTATTAGAGCTAACTTGTAAGAGTTGTTTCATTTACCAGCATGCTGACGTTCTAAAGTAGGAGTTTACAAAAATCTGACATGAGAGATGTGGTCTCCTACAACTGAATTACTCTTACCACTGATTAACTAGGTCTCTGGGGAAAGGAGCATGCAGTACATTGTAACTAGTTGCAGTCTAAAGAGTTGAGGAGAAGGGGACGGATCTTGTGCCAGTGCTACAATGAGCACCATGGGGCATAAGTATACAGGTCTCAATCCCTCTCTTCTTCAGCCTTGAAGTAGGAACTTCTAATAAAAAAAATAGCCATAAAAATACTTAGCTCTGATACAGGGCTTATAATCAATAGATCTTAAAATGCTTCTCAAAAGTGGCGAAGTATCATTATCCACATTTTACAGGCCCAGAGAAGTTAGGTGCTTTGTCCAAGGTTATATAGAATGTATACAGCAAATAGAACAGAACTTCTGTCTTCTGAGACCTAGTCCTGTACCCTAGCCACTGGACCCACAATGCTAAGTCCACACATCACCTACAAGACGACATAAACAATTGTACTAAGACACATTTAAAAAGATGACCTCCGGTGAAATAACATATAAAAGCAATAAACTACAATGAACTTCTGTTGCCCTATTTGTCTTAGGTTACAAAAACTAGAAGGCTGGAGTTCAAATTACTCCTGGAGTATTTTAGAAATTATAAACACTCTGGGCCAGAGCTATGTAGCTTTCTGCATTTCTAGCAGAGGGAAAGCAAACATGTGGGGGGAGAGGGGGGGAATCTACTTTCATTGCTTCCATTAAGAAGCTGGTGCAAGATCAGTGCTTCTAATCAGGGTAGGTAATATACAGTAAAGAGGAGAGACTGATGGAAGGAAATTTGTTATTGATTTTCTTTTCTTCTGCAAAATGACATGTGGGTTGAATGATTTTTAATGACACATTTATCAATAGGACTCCATTTGTGGCCACCTTGTGAATTTCTCTGTCATCACAGCCCATCTAAATTTCTTCTCACCTAAGCTCAAAGCATCCCTTTTTCACTTAGTTCTTCTTTTGTGACTATGTCACGGAGTCCTTAAAAATGAAACCGTTGGAAAAGCCATGCCAAGCCAACAGTGTTATTAACATCAAGTACTAACACCTTAGAGCCAGCAGAGAACAAGCTACAGTGTATGGTCCTAAAGTAGCTGGGGTCAGGAATGAGCCCCTGGCCTGACTTTTATCCTGCCCCCATATAGGACGTCTGGGCTTTAGAAATCCGGCCCTGAGCACTGTTGTGATTAATATGTTTTTAGGATTTTTTGGCTAGATGAATGTTCTGAAAATGCCTGAACAAACTGGCCTCATTTTAGGAGCCAATTAAAATCATCACATACAGAAGATGACAAGCACACTGGGTTGATTTGGCAGTAATCAGAACAAGCAATTCAAGGGGGCTTTAGCTTCCTTCTTCTGCACAGTACAGCTCTGCACTTAGATATCTGGTATGCAATACAAAAAAGGCACCAACACACACACCTTTAGTTTATAACGTTCTAGGGTGACAGCTCATTTCCCCTGTGACCCCAATGCCAGAGGTCAGCTGGAGATGGAAGTAACTGAGTCCAATCCTCCAAGAAGCTGAGCACTTCACAGGATCTGGCCCTTTAATAGCTAAGGTGCTGTACCCACATGTACTATTGCTTGTTTACCAAGACGGGCATTATATTTGATTTTGGAATGTTTGCTGTTTTGAGACTGAGCTGACATTTTGTCATAGTCACGCTGTCTAAAACAGTCCCCAGATAAAAAGTAAGATGTGCTTGTGCTGAACACCTCTCATTGTAGTAGGGTTTTTTTCCCATTGGCTCCAGAACATTAAGCATCAGTAAGTGAGAAGTTAATGACCTTCAGCAAGATGCATTATTTTGCCCAGCAACTGTGCCATCCTGGATCAGGATAATTAAATGCTACATTGCATGTTAAAAGTGATAATCGGAGTGATTTTAAATCAGAAGTTTCTTTGTCGAAGTGTGGAAAATAAATACAGCACGCCACTTTGCTATATGAAGTGTGTAATTTATCTGTCTTTGATGTAGGCCAGTAAGCACTGTAAGTGATTTATGAGTTATACCCTTCCGTTCTGCTTTCATAAATGGGAAGTGCCTAAAGAGAATACTTGAAAGTGAGAAAAGGGGTTTTACCATGGGAAATTCCTATTAGAGAAAGAAATCTGAACTGATACCCCAGAACTGAAAAACCTTGAGAGAGGACAAGTAGAAACAGAAGCCAGCTCCGGATTTCCCCTCTGGCCCTTATTTCTATAATGTACCACATCAAAACTCAAGATCCAAACTACCCCACATTTGAAGGGGAGAGGCTTTGAAATCCAGCTTCCAATTTTGCAACTCATGCACACTGTTCTTAAACAGAGATGGGCTCATCTGAGATTTAGAGAGAGCAGTTTCCTACTTAGACAAATCTAGCACGGCTGACAACAGCTCTTCCACTATTGATGCCACCGCTCCTGGAAAAGGGCTTCAAAATGTCTAGTGTAGAAGCTGCCCATGAGAATCCCAGTTTGAGTTTGGCCATGGTAAGGTACAGCATACTCCCAAACTAGCTAGCATGGCCATCAGGTGGGGGAGTGTAACTTGCTGGGACAGTTTTGGAATCTAGTCAGACACAACTACTACTCCTGTGAAATGTTCACCATGTACTGTGGACAGTAAAAACAAACCAAAATAACTGCTAGGAGCCGGGGGGGAGGGATAGCTCGGTGTGAGCATTGGCCTGCTAAACCCAGGGTTGTGAGTTCAATCCTTGAGGGGGCCACTTAGGGAACTGGGGTAAAAATCTGTCTGGGGATTGGCCCTGCTTTGAGCAGGGGGTTGGACTAGATGACCTCCTGAGGTCCCTTCCAATCCTGTTATTCTATGATTAAGTGTTTAAGGGTGGAACTGTAACTATAAATCGCCAGTCTCCTGACCTTTTTGGAGCGGATGCTTGTTAAATGGTCAATAGTTTGTGCTGTCTTTTCTATTCTGCAGGGAAGCAATAAGCCGACTGTGCGAAGCTGTATCAGGAACAAATGGAGCTATAAAAAAGCGGAAGGTAAATATTGCATTAGTGGGACATGTTTTCCTTTTTATAGCTGCTTTTTATGGGTTAGATGATTCTCTAGCAGGATTCAGCCCACCATAGAATTCATGCAAGTTCAGTTCAGCTGCATGTTATAAACAGAGTATTTACAATACACTATTTAAAACTACTCATTCTTTGATGAGCAATAATAGTACTGTGTCCTGGAGCCCTAAAAGAACACTTCTGTTCACACCCAGATATCCCAATTCTCAGTGCTTTGCCACAACCAGGTTTTGGTTGAAAAACAAAACAGTTTTTTAATTGGTAAGGAGACTGAGTTAATTGATTTTCCCTGATTATCTTTTTTTAGATTAAAAGTTTAAAAACTATGGAGTGTCGTAGGGAGGGTAACTCTCACTGACCACATTCTTGTTATAACCTGGAAAACAAATACATTGGAGAATTTCCTCATTGACTTGGAAACATTTTGTCCCCAGGAAAAGAAGCAGAATTAAATGGATAAATTACTCGTGAATTATTCACTCAGCTCTATCACTTACGAACATAGCTCTTTGGTGTTTTGTTAAAGTTTTTAGTTTATTGTTATTAACATACAGGAATCTTGCATACAGATATTAAGAAACCTTAATCATAGCCTGTATTTCTTACCTTTAAAAGCCCCCTCTGAGTGTGATCAACATCTTATCAGTTGTGTCTTTATTTTGTACAGATTCTGGGAATGATAATCATAGGTTATAAAATCTACTCAACCCTGGTATAAAATCACTCGACTCTGTCTGTGATGCATGAAGTTTACAGTATGTTTTTTTGTTTTTGTTTGTTTATAGCCTCCAGTTAAATTTCTGTCTTCTGTGCTTGGCAAAAGTAACCTTCAGTTTTCTGGCATGAATATAAAACTGATCATCTCCATGAGCAGCCTTACTTTGATGAATGTTGATACCCAGCAGGTAGGATCTTTATAGGTCAGTTATTTTCTGAGGTTTCCTTCCATCCATGTTAATATGTTTTCTTCCTCTTTTAGATGCAGATAGCTGTGGTTTAAGAATGAACAGGTGCTTGAGAGGGAAAGCAAAACTATTCAGGTTTAGATTATAAGCCTTGTAAAGATTAGCCAGAATTGGCCTCTGAATTTAAAGGGGAAAAAGCGGTGGAGAAATTTGACATTTGTCACATGTACTTTGTGTTTATAATAATGTCTTTCATCTGAAAGCATCCCTAAGCACTTGACAAACAGTGTCTCTGTGGGTGTATGTGTCTACCTCTGCCTGTTCATTTGCATGGTGCCTAATAGGGCTGCAGTGCAGACTGGAGTCTCTTATCACTACCAAAAATAAATATTTAATAACAATAATGGGTCATATGACTAGCCTATGTTAGGGAGGTTTGGCAGTTCCCCTGGAACAAAGCTGCCCTAGAGTTACTGACCTGACTTCCAGGGGATCTCCCATAGCACCCCCTCCTGGAAACCCCAGGGTATAGCCTCAATGATACTGCAGCCATAGGCAGCTAGCAAAACTTAGAGCAGCCCTTAGGCTAGTGCAAAGTTGTCCAAAGCTGGTTTAAGGCTGTGCTAATGTGTGTTTATTGTCAGTTACTTATCACACGCATTTGCTGATTCTGCAGGATATGTGGCGCTATATGCCTATGGGGCTGAGGTCTGACTTGGAGCTGTGATGTGATTCTATTATTGGATCACAGTAGCAACACAGCTCCCTAAGATGACCACCTTAGTTGTGCTTAACCTTTTGTACTGGTTTCAGCTGTTTTAGTATTTTCTGATACAGAGCTAGGTTTTCTTCTTCACTGAACAGGTGGGGTCTGGGAGCTAGGTTCTAACTCCCTGATTCTGTGGGCAAGCCCTGGCTGTCACACATTGTAGAGCAGCTCTAAGTTGTGCCATTGCCAAAGCGTCTTCAGTAGAGTTGACCCGGTGCAAGTGAAAGATAGTCGTGGGCAAAGTGGAGCTCCATCACACAGTTCCCTCACTTTAGATGTCTTCTACCTGGGGAGAGGCAAAGGTGCAGGGCACCAGGAGAGTTCTTTTTACCCCAGAGGAATTGCACCATTCAGGAGTGCAAAGGGACCAAATCCCAGCTAAAGAATCTGGCCCCAGATGTACTAATGCTTTCTCAGTTAATTTGAATTATGGGAATTCAGGGCACTGTCTCGCTGTTCTTTTTAGCCCCTATTTACTGGATGTTGGTAAATTGAAAATCCAATGTATTCAGTTCTTTCATTTCCACCACATTTCACTGTTTGCCTGCTTGCTTAATCAATTGCAGTTGGTTCTAATAAAGAACTGTGTGTTCATTGCGATGAGGTAATGCATGAACCTAAGAAAAATTGATGCCTGATCCAGCTAGAGAGATTTATGACAAATAAAAGAACTGTACTAGTGCAGAGAGTGAATATCGTCAGACCACAAACACCAGAGAGTCCTGTTCAGGAAAATATTCTTCCATCAGCTGACTTCTTGTGTGCCTTTATGGATAACTGTCAGTGACATTTAACTGAACTCATTTGGCTTTTAACTTTAATCACGGATTTGTAAAGCCACCTCTCTCTCTCCTCACGTAGCCCCAAGTTCCCAATATTTAGTTTATTAATCATACAAAAAATCAACAGCTGAATTCGTTTTGAAAAATCCCTAACGGCAGCTGGGGATTAAGAAGTCAAAGATCGTGCTGTACTGTATGTGAATCTGATGTTTCTGGGTGTATTCCCATCTTTAAGTTCCCTCATAGGAAAATTGTATGATGCGCATATTATTGGATCAGGTTTTCATGAGGTAGTCCCTGTATTACTTTCTCTGCAGGGTTATCTGGTATTTTCTATATGTACAGCACATGGACACTCCTAACTGACTGCTTGTATTTCTCAGATTATTGCCAACCACCACATGCAGTCCATCTCATTTGCCTCTGGAGGTGATCCAGTAAGTATAGATGTGTAAGATATATTTCTGTAAGCATAAGGATTAATTACAAGACTAAAAGTACCTGCAATTACTCTACTTCATCCCTTCCTATCTCCAGTTAAATTGCACTTACACAGTACTTAACATTTCTGAGTCATTACACGTAGGACAAGGAAAGTGGTTAGAGCAGAGGACTGAGATTTTGGACTCTTAGGTGCTATTCCTGGCTCTGCCATAGACTTGCTGCATATATAGGACACTTAATATGTCTTTATCTTTTTTTCTCTGTCTTCAAAATGAGCTCAACCTGCCCTTGGGTTCTGTGAAGCCAGCAGCCTTGGTTCCCCCTGCCCTGATTTGGGGGAACCTAGAAATGGGAACGCATGAACATAGAAATTGCCAAATTGGATCAGATCTGTGGTCCATCCAGTCCAGTCTCCTGTCATCAGCTGTGGCCAGCACCAAAGGCTTCAGAGGAAGGTGCAAAATACCCTGCAGTAGGCAGCAATGGGACAATCTGTGCAGCCTGGGAGAGGGAGGTCTTCTCCAAATCCCTAATAGTTACAGTTTGGCTTAGGTCCTTAAGCAAAAGACGATTTATATCCTTTCCTAAACTTCTTTTAAAATATTTATTATAACTAGATATTCTTGTTATCCATATACATGTCTCTTTTAATCATTATATTCTTTGCTTCAGCAGCATCTTGTGGCAATGAGTTCCACAGTGTAACTGAATTGTGTGGACAAATATTTCCTTTGATCAGTTTTGAATTTGCTGCCTTTCAGTTGCATTGACTGTCCCTTGTCTCTTGCATTATGAGACAGAGAAAGTAGAAGTTCCTGAACTGACTTCTCAGTACTGTTTAATTGTAAACCAGAATCTCATCTTTCATTCAAAAATGTCCATTCTCTCCCTTTTGGCTTTGAAAATGTAAACTGATCAGGCACTATAAAGCAGATGGAAGGCTGCCCTAAGTGGGCAGCTGGGCATTCCCCTTGTGTAGAGAATCCCTGGGTAGTATAAAGCCAACAGAGCTAGCACTCTGTGACCTGCTTCTAGCCCCCTTGGTGTAAAGGGATTTCTGGGGTTGGAGCGGTGTGGCCAGGGAAGGCTGTGCTCTGGCAATCCTGGACGAGTAGAGTAGACCTAGGGGTGCTACTACTACAGTGGTAACTGAACCTTGAGGCTACTCCATGTCTGGAAGCCAAACTGGCCTGGAGCTGCCACCAGGTGCCTTTAAAGCCATCCTTGCCCCTCGCCTTTGGTGTGGCAATGAGCACAGTTTTTCTAGAGCAGATCTGACCCTTGAAATTCTGCTTGTACCACCTATCTGATAAGGTAATAGTGGAGGTATGAGAATAGGAATATTACCTTGCCTGTATTTATTTAAAAAAAAAAAGTGTGTGGGGGGGAAGGTGGTGGTGGTGGGGAGTTCTTTGGTCCAAGACTCTTTGTTCTGAAGTTCTTCGAATCATTAGAGATGGGGCTGATCCAAAGACCTAAATCCTAACTTCTGACTTTGGGGAAGTTCAGATCCAGATCCAAATGTTGCAGCTTAAGTCCCTCTTTGCTTTTAATTAAAACACATTGAATTTAGGTTCACAGCTCACTAAAGTTCACTCTGAATCATATCATCAGCAGTTACTTTACTTTGCTGTAACATGCAAATTCTTTGCCTGCCAGAAAAGGTCACACACCGTGTATGCTGGATGGTAGTTTTCTGTACTGCTGAATGCTGCCTGAATTCAAATGGAAGAGTCCATGGTATAATATGATGACTGATTTATGGCTTTTTGTTCATTTGACTGGGGAGGGTGTTGGGTGGATTTGTGGGAGGGCACTATTATTTAACTAACTTACATGGAAGTGTAACCAGTTTTCTTAATAGTTTAACTTTGAAAAACTGGCTTTAGCCCATCTTTAGATAATCTAGATAGGGTGTACTTTCTAGTAAGTTTTAGATTTCTAAATACAGTTTCTCTTTATTTTGCATAACTTTTTCCATTTTGAAAATATTGGGATACATTTTCAGTGCTCTGCTCAGCAAATTAGATGCAGAATTCCCATGGCCTTCTTACTTATTTGTTCAGCCTGAAGCCATATTGTGCTGTGAAGTCATCAGATCTCACAGGATAAGCAGGAGTGGGTGTTGTCAGTATTTGGAGGGAAGAGCTCTAATGAACACCTACAGAAGGTACTGTAGAAGGTGGTGCTGGTGATTCAGTAGGTCACACTCTTCCCTCTTAGGCCTGGTCTGCACTTAAAAGTTAGGACAACATAACTACAGTGCTCAATGAGCGCCATAACTATGCCAATCCAACCCCTGGTGTAGATGGAGCTAGGTTGATGGAAGAATTCTTCCGTTGACCTAGCTGCTGTTGCTCGTGGAGGTGAAGTTCCTAAACCAGTGGAAAACCCTCTTCCATGGCTGTAGGAAGTGTCTACACTAGGTGCTACAGAAACATAGCTATGGCACTGTAGCTCTGCCACTGTAATGTAGACGTGGCCTCGGTCAGAGCTGAAGGAATGCCCCAGCATGGATGAGAGGCACTGGGCTCCATGAGCCAGAGCCATTTGCATGATATGTCAAATGGAGGTCCAGCCCACTTGAGGTCACTAGTGGCACTTTACATAAGAATAAGGATGTGAATCCTGGTGGCCAGATGCCATTTTGGGTAATTACAACCACATTTTTTCTTACAATTTCAACTGGATATGGTATTCCTCACTTCCTGTCCCAGAGCCCAATCCTATAAGGTGCTTAGCACTATGTAGGAAGGTGTTCAGCAGCTTGCAGGATTAGGCATCTAAACTCTGTAATGTTGTTATGCACTGTGAAATAGCAGCTGTGTTCTACTCCAGAGGTGGCTGCATTTCGGTGCTGAATGAAGTAATTCATGAATGTGCGTAACCTTTGTAAAGATACAACAAAAACGTCTGGTATTTTTCTAGTTAATTGCTAACTGGTTGCATGTCTAATTTGTATTGAAAATGTACCCCAGGCTATGTCTGAGCTTTTAAAAATCTGAGAAAGAAATTAAAGAAATTGAGGAAACTGAGTTCACAAAATTTATTTAATAAGAAAATGTTGGCTTCATTTGCATCCACAACAGTTAATTTGCTTTTTAAAATAAACATCGACAAGTTATGCTGGCCCCAAGATCTACTTCTTTCATAATTGATTGAGCAATATTAAATGATTATTCTTGTGGCATTACAAACAAGGGCTTTTATTTCCTGCCAGTTGATTGCATCTTTTGTAGAGAGCCATGCCTTGAACTGCAAAGTGCACTCTCCCTACTCTTGCCTTAAGGATCCAAGATAACAAAATGCATCTTTAATTATTAAAATAATGCTATTCATTACATCACCATTTTACTGCAACACTGAATTAGCAACTGGCTCTTTTGCTTTTGTACATTCTCTACATGTTTTATTTTTGCTATGTCAGTCACCATTTGCTGGTTTTGTACTAAAAAATAATGTTTCAATATTAGTCATGACCAGAGTCTGGAACAACCAGACTGAATACTTAGGCCTGTCTTCTCATCTCAATGACACTAGTGTTAATCCAGACTAACTCCACTTGACTTCAGTGGAGTTACCTGGAACTTACGCAGTGGTGTAACAGAGATCAGACTTCAGCCCATTGAATTTCATATTTTAGTTCTTCTTTGAGATGTTCTTTTTAAAAAAATCTGCATAATGGGCAAAATTCTAATCTGCCCTCTGCAGTACTTGGCTGGCTAGTTTGTGTTCTGCTCTTGAACTTCCATAGGTAGGTGAGCTAACTGACTTCCATTGAAGCAGAGAGCACTCCGCTCTCCTGGATTAGGTCTAATACACTTTAGAACCCGGCATAACAATTGAAGAGGACAATTTTGTCCATTGACTGATCATCATTTGAATGACTGCTTCTTCTGTAACAGAATCAAGAATGCAGAATATCATTTATCTAATATACAAAGAATGTAAAACAAAGAAATTCCTGCATTTTTGGCCAGGGGAGGGGAATTAGCACTTCAGTATACAAAACAAATGACTGTTCCTTTCAATGCACTAGGCTGACTACTGTTTGCTTTTCCTAAACATCTAACGAAGTATCATTTCTGAAGCTGAAGGGAGAGCCTGAATTTATCCTCCTGTGCTCATTTACACTAGTTATTTTGTTGACAATGGTGCTTTAATGACTCACTTGAAAGACATTTGTTTGTTTTTGTTGTTTTTAGGATACAACAGACTATGTTGCATATGTAGCTAAAGATCCTGTTAATCAGCGAGGTATGAAAATATTTTCAGATTAAAGTATTTTGTCCTATCTCTACTGAGCAATTACATGAGCTTTAATGTGCCTGTGATACAGAACAGCTTGATATTCTGTCCATTTCAGGGTTGTAGTATAATTTCACTAGTTGGTCAATGGGGTGACAGTGTTGTCTGGACTGCAGCACTAAACACCTTGCTACTCATGCCCCACAATGAGAATCTTCAGACGTGACTTAACTCCTGTTAACTATCAAACTCCACCAATGAGAAGACACTTGCATTCTGCCGCTCTCCCAGCTTCCCAAGCAGGACTGGCAGCTCTGCACACAACCTCTGTGCTGGCTGAGAGGAAGGGAACTTATGCCTGCACTGTTGCAAACTGAGCTGCTCCAGTTGAAGTTTCAAGGAGAGGAAAAAGTTTTTTGGTGATTTTTGTCTCGTAATTTATGATGTTCCCAAAATCCCTTAATGGAATTACAGCCCATGCAATTCAGTTGCATTCACTTTTATTCACCTAGTCTGTTTAAATACCAGTCTGCTGCCTCATCCGTGGAGATCATCATTGCATCCTTTGCATTACTTATTTAAGAACAGTTATACAGTGAACAGCAGGTCACATCAGTAAAATTTTGGAGCCAGCCAGCAACCGATGACCTTTGCTAACAACAGAATACTGTGATTTAGAAAAAAAGCCCCATTCTCCTGGTGGCATTGCAACAGGCAAAACACTGACTAGCACAACTATGCAGGAGCATCTCACAGGCAGTGCAAAAGCAGACAGTGGGACAAGACAAGAGGGATTGGAGTGGTCAGAGTAATTCTATTTCCTTCTGCAATGTACTGACTAGCATCTAATTTGTACAGCAGCCCACTAGCAGATGGACTGGTGAGACTTGCTCAGGTGTATTTGTATATGAGAGCATTTGTCCCTTCAGTGGCTGGCCTGTAGAAGAGGAAACCTCTAATACTGCTCTAGCTAATTTCCCTTTAGTTCAGGTAGCAGGAAACTGTTTATTAGAGCTGGAGGTTTTGGGTATCATCACTGCTTATGACTACTAAGTCTATGTGATCACAGTATGTAAAACAACTGACTCCTGAGATGTCTTCTATGGTTGAGGAATCATTTCCAGGGAAGGTTGGGCTGATATTTATGACCCTCATTTCGTAGCTATGTCATCTTTATTCTGATACATGAGAAAATGACTAAGTCAATGAATTACGGCACTCCAAAAATCTAGTCATTTGTGGTTTCACTGACATTTAGTATTAAGCATTCAGGTATGAATGCAATAACATATTAAAAACCACTGTAAAATCAGTGCTTGTGTTTGTATTGCACTAGTGAATTATACTACCATTTGGAATGTAGACTTTAGATTGAGGCTTGAATTTTAGGCCTCAAGCTGGTAGCAGCAGAGGCAGTCATGGTCTACAGTTCTGGATGCAGTGTACTGTACTAGCCAGAGTGATCTCACAGTGCCATCTAGTGACTGGTCTGTAAAAGAGTTGCTGCTTTGAGACCTACTGCCAGATTTTCAGGAGTTCATGGCCAGATTTTAAATGCATAGCACCCAAAATTGGAGGCAGATTTTCAAAGATTTCAGTTTCCCTTTAAGCATCTAAATAAGGGACAGATTTTCAGAAGACCTCTGTGCCCAGTATATGCCTAACATGCTGAAGTCTTCAGCAAATCTGGCCACTTATTTTGGACTTTTGGTTTAAATGAATGATATTGGAAAATCTGACTCTTAATGCATAGCAGTCACTATGAGAGGAAGAGAGACAAAGGACGCTATAAGAAAAACAAAGCAGAAAATATAAACACAGGTTTAGATTCTTTTGTCAAGTTGTAGATTTATATTAAAATTAAAACACATGCAAGGTGGTTTTCTTAACACATCAAAAGCAAAATCAACATGGTCTCCTCAAATTACTTAGATATTTCCTTTATACTTCATCTCTGGATTTACTGATATAAGAACTTTCTCTGAATATTTTCTTATAAGCTAAGTGAATATGTTTTATGAAAGTGTCTTTTTGTTCTGTGTTTATACAGCGCCAAGCACAATAGGGTCCTTGCCGCTATAATACAAATAATAAATAATAGTGTTTTAAAAACATTTTTGTATCACTTTGTAGCATGCCATATATTGGAATGTCCCAACGGAATGGCTCAGGATGTAATAAATACCATCGGGCAGGCTTTTGAGCTCCGATTCAAGCAATACTTGAAGAATCCTTCTACTCTGATTACTTCCAATGAAAGGTCAGTATGGTGTTTTCTATAACCTGAATATTGCTCTTCTACTGTAAGGATGAATATATGCTATAGGGACTGATCCCCTAAACAAGATGCATTGTGCATGGCATTCTTTTGGACACGCACAGACTTTATTTTTAAAAACAACAACAACCCTGTACACACAATATATAGCAGACCAAGTTTTCCTGCTTCTAGTGCACTCCCATTTGTACAGGTGTAACTGAGAACTGAATTCAGCCTTATTCTCTCTTCTCCAAATAGCCTAATTTTAAATTATGCATGTAAACTGAGTGAGCATTACCAAATAAGGACAGAGTAAGTGAAATGAGCAAGTTCTGCTCTCTAAATATTGTGCTTACATTGAGCTCCAACCTCAGCTGTTCCAAGTTTATGTTCAGTGCAGCTCTAGAGAGGGGGTTGGTGGGGGAAAAGGTAACTCTTAGCCACCTTTCTGCTCTCCTGATCCTGGCCCTGTTGGGAGCCGAAATTCTATCTGGCCTAACTTAGAGCAGCCTCGCATACTGAAATAAACACAAGTGCAACTTGGAATTTGAATGTGTGAAGAGTGTACCTGGAGCTCTGCACTTAGCTACATTATTAAAAATAGAGGGGCTAGATTATTACTTGGACTATATGCCTGCACATGGGAATAAGGGCACGTAAGAATGCTTCTCCAAGGGCTGTGCAAACTCTGGTGTGGGCACACAGGAGTAAGCACAAGCTCATTCTCCACAGCAACTGGGCAGGGAGTAGGTGGGGAACTGTCAGAGACTTAGCTTCACCCCTCCATACGCCCTGACCAACACAGCAGAGAAATCATAGGGACACATACAATCTCCGCCTATCTTTCTGACATCTCCTTGCAGATGTCCACTCATCAACTGAAACCTAACATGGCCAGAACTCGAGTGCCTGATGTTTCCCCCAAAGCCCTCCCCTTTCCTTATCACAGCAAGCAACACCACCATCCTCCTTGTTGCTCAAGCCCATCATCTTGGCTTTGTCTGCGGATTTGAACCACAGTTACAGGCCCAGGTCTAAATCTTGCTGCTTCTTTCTGCACAACAGCTCCAAGATCCAACCTTTTCTTCCTGCTCATGCTGCCAAGACTCTGGTCCAAGCCCTGATCATCTCATGCTTTCACTGCTCTAATCTCCTGCTGTCTGCCTTCGGTGCCTGCAACCTCATCCCCCTAAAGTCTATTAAAACATGGCTGTGAAGATCATCTTGGCTTATTCCTCTGACTTTGTTGCCTCTCTCCCATCTTTAAGTTTCTCCATTGGTTCCCCCATCTCCATTGCATCAGACACAAACTTCTTGTCCTTACTTTCAAAACCCTCTGCAGTTTAGCCCCCTGCCCACCTCTCCAACCTATCATAGCAAGGTTGATCCACACTTTCACTCTGCCCATTTCACTTTCACTCAATCACCTGCTTCTCTGACAAGCATTTACATGCTTTCTCCCATGCTGCCCGTTATGAGTGGGAAAAGCTCCCAGTCTGAATCCGCAAAGCCGCCACTATCTTCCTTCAGCTCCCTATTCAAAACTAACCTCTGCTTCAACACTTAAAGGAAACTGCAAGCTGGTAGTCACTAGGCAGGTGGCAAATTGTGGTCACTGCTACTGAATGGCTGAGAACTGCACACATCCTATTGTCTTTGTTACATTGCCCTCTTAGAGCAAGGACGACCTTTTATAATGTTTTCTACAGTGTCTTGCAGAATGAGACCCAACCAGGTTGTGACCTTTATGTGCTACCACAATAGAAATGTTAAAAAATGTTACCCCTTTTTGATCTGGGCTGTTGGACAAAATGTGGGGTCTTGTGAGTTGTTTCAGTTAGGAAGACAAGCTGGTGATGGAGCCAGGTGTTTCTTTGACGCAGTCCTGTTTATTTTCAAAGAATGTACAAAGTCCTGTTTCCTTGGACACAGGAAGACTCAAACAACAGGGGATAGTTTCTTTGCTCACAGTTCCACGCCTCTTTCAGACAAGCACTCTCCCCAAAACCTCTCACCCTAATCTTTTTCTCACGGCCACACTCCCAATGCTTGTTCTGCTGCCTCCTTGGCTTTCTATTTCTGTTGTATTTTCCATTGCTTATGTCCCATGCACTCAGACATACCACTCCAGTACAATCAGGGCTTGTCTTCGCTACCCGCCTGGATCGGCGGGTAGAAATCGATCTCTCGGGGATCGATTTATCGCGTCTCGTCGGAACGCGATAATCGATCCCCGAATCGACGCGCGTACTCCACCAGCCCAGGTAGGAGTAAGCGCCGTCGACGGGGGAGCCGCGGTGGTCGATTTGCCGCCGTCCTCACAGTGGGGTAAGTCGGATCAGATATGTCGAATTCAGCTACGCTATTCCCGTAGCTGAATTTGCGTATCTGAAATCGACCCCCGACTCCATAGTGTAGACGTAGCCTCAGTCTCCCCCAGTCAAGTTTATCAACTCACAGCAGAACTCCCTTTGGGCACAAGGCTAACTGCTACTCCAGCCTTGCATGTGGCTTTGGTCTGGGTAAAGATCCCTATAGATTCAACTATCTAGTCCATAAAGGTGCTTCATTGCTTTTTATAATTATCCTGAAGAAAGGCAGCTTGTATACCCAACCCATAACAATAATAACAATACCACCTTAATTATATTTTTCTTTTATTAGATAGAGTATTTCTCTCCCTCCACATTCTAATACTAACCTGTTACCTCAGGGGGCAATAAGTATAAAGATGATCTTCCCTGTGAAATCATGCTAGGTTACATCATACGTAAATCACAAAAATTAGAAATGGAAATGGTTGATTAGATTATTTAGTCCAGCCCTCAGCCAGTCCAGGAGAACAGTCCCCAGACAGAAGACTTCCCTCAGATAGTGCTGTGTGACTGAGTCACCCACTTCCAAACTACTGTGAATCATATAATCAAATACTTGAGCTGTGTATCACATAATCAAGTACTTGAACTTTATCTCTTTCCTGCTTGTGGCCTTTTATCCAATTATCTTCTTGTTACACAGAGAAGTAAGATTCCAAATGCGTTGTTATTTTTGGAGGAGAGGCATAGTGCAGGAAACACCTCCTGCTTTTGCAGTGTATCAGCTGAATGTTGAAGCCATCATTTGGTTCAAGGCATGCGGGAAAATGTGCACCATCGATGATGCCATTTAGGGCTTGTCTACACAATGAGGTGATGCACATCATTGGGGTGTGAATTCTAAATGGGCCCACGTACTCAAATTTCCCTAATGCACGTTAATGGAGTCCCATTTCAAACACTACTATGTTAACACACACTAGGGAACTTTGAGCACATGCCAGTTAGTATGTGACACGCTTAAATGCACTATTGCACCATGTAGACAAGCCTTTAGTGTTTGCTTCCAGCTGAAAGAGCCTTGTTCTGTTGATTGTTTTTTAAAATTAGACTAGATTCCACTCTGGAAAACTGTATTTGTTGTAGCCATATTTGATTTCCTGAAGCAATTCCAGGCCTATCTAACTGCTGCCCAAATGCCACATGAAGTTTTAATTTCCCTTTATAAGTCCCACACACTTGCTTTATGCAGACAAGATAAGAGGCAAAAGAAATTGGGACCAGAGTCTATAATGTGAATGCATTAATGAACAGCGTCTACTCTGAGGGTAAAACATTGCCAAAAGTGGCTCTTGTATCATTTTCATGGCTGAGAGAATGCAGACCGTCCCAATGTTAAGGAAGTATCTATGCCACCCTGCCAACTGAGTTATGGGTGATTAACACAAATCACCATAGCTGGAAAAATAAAGAAGTAGCTGAGTGAAAGGATTTAATCAAACAGCTTTTAACATTGGGAACAATGGCATTTGTATGGCTAGTTTGTCCATTTTGTTGTGGATAGACTCATGGAAACTGTTTACCCTGAGAATCATTTGATTATATGGTTCATTTCATCTGCTGGTTCATTTTTCAGTGAAGTGATGAATCTTGATGGATCATCTTGGAATACGCAGGAAAAGGAGGATTATGAATATTACAATGAAATTCCAGGGAAAGAACCTCCTACAGGTGGACTATTAGATATGCGAATGAAAGTGCAAACAGACCAAAGGGAAAACTGTCCCATACAATGTGAAAAGCAATACTGTTTGGTAAGCATGTCTATTTCGGGTATTACTATTCACTACTTGGCTTGGGAAAGGATTTTTAGGCCAGTTTTAATAACACTTAGCACATATTTGACTCTCAAAGCACTTTATCAACATTAACTGATTCATCCTTACATACCTCTGGGAGAGCAGGTATCATCTCTTTCTTGAGATGGGGAGAAAGTGGGTCGTAGATTTAAATGGCTTGTTCAAGACCACACACCTGCAAACCCTTAGGACTTGCCAGCTTCCAGTCCCATGGTCAGACCACGCTGTCACTCCACACTGCATTCTGCATGTATGAGATGCAGTTTTCAGTAATTCTAGTGTGTTTCAAGATACAGCGTGCTTTCAAATTATCCAAAGGTCTCTGGGACTTTAGGGGGTAGATAAACCCTGAACCTAGGCACAGTCAGGACTCAGAAAATCAGGGCGTGAAACCAGCAGATTTAAGAGCTTACTGGGATAGTTCCCCTGATTGTAGAGTGTACTGGTCAGCATTCCCAAGCACAGGGAAGTGGGTACCACCAGCTGGCTCTGCTTGCGGAACTCTGAGTCTGCATTCAAAGACCTCCAGGAGTGGGGCTGGGAGAGGATGTCTCAGTTATGCTTGTGGCTTTGCAGCAGAGGCTTATTGAGGAGGGGCAATACAACCCCAGGAGATGTAACCGAACTCTGGTTCACGGCTGTGAGACTCTATTCCTCGTACCCCCGACCCAGGTGTCGTTTTCTCAGTACTTCCTTTCAATCTTGAAAATTCTTTAATGCCATTCAGACAACAGTGTGACCATTCTGCTTCCATGCCATGTTGTCTGTATTCTCTCTCCCTGTTTTTATTGCAAGAAATGTTTACATGAAAACAGGATCTTCATTGCCTAGGAGTTAATCTAATCCTGCTGCATATTCCTCAAATGAAATCATCTGATTCCCATTTGTGACATCATAGTCATCTCCCTAGCAACTAATTGTGATGTTACGAACAGTGGGTTATGATTTCAGGTGAGGAATTGATCCCAGAAGCAGAGCTGCTGCTTGGCAACCAAGATTCTGTCTTCATGAAAATATCCTTAGGAATAAAATCAAAATAAGGGGTTACTCATTAGAGGAGGAAGGGTTAGAGTTCCCAGTGTGTTGAGTATTAATGCTTTGCTAGTCAATATATTAATACCGTTTCTGTAACATGCTACAAACATGGCATAAAATGCAAACACAGAACCAAGCTTCTCTCTCTCATCCATCAGAGACTGGCTGTGTACCCATATTTTCTAAGCCTCCCATTGCCTGCCATGGAGCTTAGACTCTTCACGGGGATTGGGACATGCGTCACTGGAATAGCCAATGGGAAGTAAAGCATCAGCACTGACTATTGTTTGAGGGGGTGGGGAAATTTGTTGTCCAGGGATCACTGGAATGCATGGTATATATTGAAACGATATCTGAAGTTTATTAACAATTGAGAGTAAATTGTGTGATTCTTCCAGGCTGGCAGCCCAAAATGCATCAACATATATGAAAACTGTCCAGAAGAAAACAAATCAGTGGGTATGTGCTACGTCTTCCTTCCCCTGCATATCTAGATTTCAGTTGAGCCAGACTGTCTGGAAGTGCTGAGATTTTTGATATAATAAAGAAAAGTGTTCTGCTTATTAGGTCATGAATAGTTCCCCGGCTGAGGGGCAGACAAAAAAGCCTTACAACTTTTCAAAGGGGGTGTTAATCCATTTTTATGCCTGCGGGCGGATTTACCAATTTTACTTGTCCTGACACCATACAGTAGCCCTTTGTTATTTTATTTTCTTTCATCTCCTGCAAGGAAGAAAGATGCTCCCCTGCTTAACTAGCTCTGACCCGGCTCTTACAGAATATACACATGCATTACAGGGTCAGAACTGTCAGCGTCCCTGTGACATTCTGGAGGGAGCATGTTTGTGGCCTTGTTTCCAGTGTTAAAGGGGGTCCTAGTCTCAAATCTAATCTTAACTCTGTTTCTTCACTTGAGCTTTCCCCTATTTCCCTTTGTGTGGCTGGTTATAAGCTCCAAGTCACCTTCATGGTGGGGAAACTTGCTCTCTGATATCCCAATATATCAGTAGGCTCCTCTTCCTTTTTTGGACTTCACGTGGCACTGCTGATGCCTCTGGACACATTTCTTTGGCTCCATCCTTTTCCTCATACAACAAGGCCCTTTTAAAAATCCCATTGGCCCTGCTGGTGGGGACTGTATTACACTGCCCACACGGTGGTGGTAAATTTCTTTATTTGCAATATTTCTGCATTTGCCCTGTTTACAAGAGAAGCAACTAATTTCTACATATGAAGGATGAATAAATCAAATAATAAATGTGATAAATAGCACAAACATGGTCACTGTTTGGCTATCTGAATAGCATTCCCTTAATACCCTGCTGCTCGGTTAACGCTCTCCTGAATTAAGACCCTAGGCTGAGCGATGCTCCTCTGGCTCACCAGGCAGAGCTACAAAGCACCAATCAGCTCCAACCTCCCAGGGGCAGGGAAAGGAAGAAATCCCTCCTCTTCCCAAAATGCTCCTAGGAAGGGGAAAGGGTTTTGCAACAGAACTGAGGATGTGCAGTGTGTCTCCCTAAAGACGTACGTTAGGATTGGAAGGGACCTCCTGAGTCCTCAAGTCCAGTCATCCTATTGATAAACTTACAAACTCATCTTAAAACTGGGAGGCTGTTCCAGAATGTCACTCCTCTGATGGTTAGAATCCTTCTAGTTTATAGCCTAAATTTATACCCATTTGTTCTTGTGCTGACATTGTTCATTAGTTTTAATTGCTCTTCTGTCTCCCTGGTGTACCCTCATGTATTTACAGAGAGCAATCAGATCTCTTCTGAGCCTTTGTTGTGCTAGGCTAAACAAGCCAAGCTCTTTTTAGTCTCCTCTCCTACAAATTGCTCCCAGAATGAGGAGAGATCAGAGATCCCATTAGACTCAATGGATGTTTTTACACCTGAATCAGGGTAGAATAAGTGTGGAAAAAGTTAATTTATTCAGAATTATCCAGGGCCAGTAAAAATAATCAGCCACATACTCAATAGACGGGCATTAGGAACCCTGAGATGAGAAACCTAAAGAAAAGTTAAGAAAAACTGCATGTATTTTGACCATAAATACATAAAATACTCCTATAATAATAAATACCCACTCCTATAATTTTCAGCGAACCCTACAGAGAGCTTCAGGGTGAGGTTTTCAAGATTACTCAGCTTTGGCCTAAATTGCTCTCACTGAAGTCAATGGGAGATTTACCATTGACTTCAGTAGAAGCAGAGTTAGGCCAAGGGCTTGAGAAGTTTTGATGACCCCATTTTAACTCTAAAATGGTTAGGATGTTGCTTTTTAGAAATAAAGACAAATGAGATAATTTGGCACATTTTTCTTTTGTCCCTGAAGGGTTTAAGTGGAAATGTCAAAGCTGCAACATTCAGAGGCAGCTGTTGTTTTTTTAGCTTGGTAAAAAAGAAGATACAATGTATATTGCCATTAATTACAGGTAACTATGGTGAAAGATCACTGAAGGCAAAAAAAGATGTATCCTTACTGAAACCTGCTTGCAAAATGGATCTTTTTGATGACCCTTGTTACATCAACACTCAGACTCTGCAAACTACAGCCTACACAGCTAGAGGCCTTGCATCAGCCCAGGTCTATGGGAGCCCGCTGTGTCATGAAAGTAGGTTCATATTTCAATGACATCTTTTTCTAAGCCTTGAAATGAGGATCTTGTCATCTGAATGCATGGGGAAGGAATCTGTTTTCTCCATAATAATTTGGGAGGGGAAAAAATCTTGTAACTGCTAGGCACCTCTTTTGGCTGTTAAATTCAGGATAAGCAGCACCAAAGATTAGAAATACTGACAAGCAATGAGTAGATCTAACTTCTGTCTTCTGAAGTTGATCAATGGCAATAAAATGCATAGGGTTATAACTTTTCACAGGGAATGACGGGCAGTCCCGGAAGCTGCTTTGAAAACGTAGGGCCATATCATGTCCCCAAGATATGGGATGGTCTTCTGCATGTAAATCTTACCCATTCTGACCCAAGGGAGGTCAACTGCCTCTGCTGCAATTTCATAGATTTTAGGATCATAAGGGACCATTATGCTCATCTAGTCTCATGTCCTGCATAAACCAGCTCAGAGAACTTTACCCAGTAATTGCTACATCAAGCCCATAACTTTGGTTTGAACTGTAGCAGATCTTTCAGAAAGACATCCAGATTTGATTTAAAAGACTTCAAGTGATGGAGAATCCATCATGTCCATAGGTGAGTTGTTCTAATGGTCAGTTACCCTGATTGTTAAAAATTTGCTCCTTATTTCCTATCTTCTCCCTTCCTGAACCACTTATGCGATTGGCTTGGGATCCACACAGAGAGAAGGGGATGGAGACTAGGGAGGCCTGCATTAGAGACTTTCCCAGCTTGGATCTGTGGGTTCCCTCTGTGTTGGAGAATCCCTCTTTAAAGAGGCCAGAGGATGCCCTGCTAGCAAAACTGCATTGAAACAGTGATACCAGTCAGTTTTCTAAGAGAAATGTTGCCGATGGGTCATTTGAGGCCTGACTGGCTGTATCCCAACCCACCTATACCGTTGTTGTGTTTAGTAACATTTTGGGTTTGCTTAGCAGATGCATCATGCTGTAAATGCTTCCTTTCAGGCTGTATCTGTCATATTATCTTATACTCCTGTACATTGCTGGAGTCATTCAACATGACCCTCACAATTAGATGTGGCATTCTCTTCAGTGCCAGCTAAAGAAGAATGAAAAATTAGATCTTTAAATAATGTAGCCAAAAGACAAACTTGCTTTGCAGGAAAGATCTGATTTTTTTAAAAACAAAATACCTATCAGATCACAAATAATCAGATTGTGTTCTTCATGTGCTAATAATACAATAGGTAAAAGTAACCATGCAAACAAACAAACACCAAGAATTTTGTCTGTAGATTTTGGTATAAGACAGAATGTTTTACAACTCACACATCTCTACAGAAGTATTTTTGTGCCACTCATAATTGTATGTAGTTCATTGAACTACGTAAACAACAGCTTTCTAATACATGCCACATTCAGATATACAATTGCAAGATGGAATCTCCTCTAAGCTTCCAAACTTTGTGATTCTTTCCCAGAGAAACCCACCCCCACTCAACCATTGCAACACAAAACCCAAACACTACAATATCAGAACAAACTTTTTAATGGCTAATCCCTGTTCCTGTTACCTAGCAACATGAGAACTAACTAACTATTTAATGGATCTCACACTTTCCAAAGTTTCTACATGTGTAAAATGGGGGTGATAAGTTTTACCTAAGTTGGTGGGGTGCTGTGAATATTACTGTGCGCATAAGGCTTTGAAAATGTTAACTATTATTACTATCTGGAAGACTGGTTTGATTACAGCTTCAAATCTGAATCATTTGACTCTCCCAGTGTTTCAGTTGTATAAAAATGTTTTATATCTCTTGTGTTTATGCTGAAGTTTTGGGTGAAGGGTCCAGCATCTTTCCTTTCATTTAATTTTAGAATTGCCGGAAGCTGTTCAGCAGCGTGCCACAACCAACATGGATAGTGTATGTGTTCTGCCACAAATAAAGCAACAGTTAAGGAATGAAGATTGTTACCATGGCAAATTAAACAGGAAAGCAGCAGAGACCCTCTTGGTCAACGACGGGGATTTTTTGGTGCGAGAGAGTGCAACATCACCTGGTCAATATGTATTGAGTGGATTGCAAGGAGGGCAAGCAAAGCATTTACTCTTGGTGGATCCTGAAGGCAAGGTATGGATAATCCATGTATGGAAAGTATCTCATAAAAAGGTACTGGTTTGCTCCAGCATTTCAAAGGCAAAGTGCATATTAAAGTGCCAAGGATGAAATGCGGGTTCTGTTGATGTTAAACAAGAGTTTTGCCAATGACTTCCGTGGGGCTAGGGCTTCACCCCAAGACTTTTAAGAGTGTGGTCATTATGGTAATTAGCTGTCTCACATGGGTGTATAATTAACACATCCTTTGAGTATTAAGTGTTGCTATAATCAAATGCTGATAGCATCCGACAATAAAATTGACCAGTAAAGGGTTTCCAGATGCAGAAAAAATAATGGAAAGAGTCAGTTGTATCACCTGAAATCTAACCTTCTAGGACTTCTGTACAGCTGCTTGAGGAGCTTCCCTGAGTGATATTTCTAACAGGCAGGAGTGAACCAGAGAGAATTTGCTAGAGGGAGAGACGGGAGATGCCTCTTGGGAGAAAAAATTGTGGCTTTGCTCCCCTTTCACAGCTGTATGCCCCTGTGCCCAGTTCTGCACACATTCCATCAACTTCCCCTTTCTCCCTCATTGTTCTCCCTTGCCTGTGCAATGGGTATGACATCACCATAGCAGAATACGGACCCAGCACAAGACAGGGTATCACAGGTGTTACTTTTGGCTGGCACATAGGAAAACCAGCGGCAAAACAGATAACAGAACAATATTTAAACTATTTGTTCTGTTAAAGTGTGTGTCACTGCAACCCTGCCTATTGATCCTGCTGAATTCAGTGGCTTTAATTCCTGTTGACTTCAAAGTGATAATTTTTAATTGAAAATAAACTTAAATCAATTCTTTTGCTTTCTTTAAAGGTCAGAACCAAAGACCATGTGTTTGATAGTGTGGGTCATCTTATTCGCTACCACATGGAAAATAATCTGCCAATCATCTCTTCTGGAAGTGAAGTGAGCTTGAAACAGCCAGTGAGAAAACAGAATAACACAGGACACATGCAATACAACAAATAACACTGTTGGATCTCAAAATTCCCAAGGCAATTAATTTGTGAAAACTGCATTGACTATTCTTAAACTTCATTACTACAAAGCCAACTCAAAAAGTATAAACTGCACTTTTCAGCTGCTGTTACGGAAGACTTCTTTTCATGTGTATGTATGAATATATGTATATCTATGTAGATCTATAGAGATCAATATGCATAGCTATATAGATATATATAGTGTTAATCTTAGCAAAATGAAACCCCTGGAGAGTGAGAGATCCATTTGGGAAAAAAAGACATGCACAGATATCACTTTCAAGGTCATACTGAATCAGTAACTATTTAAAAGCACAATTAAACTTATACATGGAAAAGCTCACTTGAACAAACTGCTGGGACATTAGTATGTGCCTTTTAGTCATGGAATTATTGGAAACAAATATTATTTATATTGGATTAGTTTCAAGTGGATACATGAACATGTGTAGGTTTAGAACTACTTGCCAAAACAAAGTATTTGAATATTACTAACATGTCACTTGCTTACAGTAGACACTAACTTTATTTCATTTTGCTTATAACAGCACTTTAATAGCAAATAATGTTTAAAATGAATGGCATACACAATAGAAAGGTTGCCTGTTTTCTTAGTAACAATCAGTTTTTTAATCACTGTCTGACTGTTCAAAGATTTGAGATTATGCAACATTTACTAAACGGAAATAAAGATATGTAAATGAAGTGTAATTTTGAAATAGAATGTATCAAAGAGCAAGCATGCTAGATTCTAATATTTTTGTGTCTTGCATATAATTTTACTATTATTGCCAACAATTACTGGAAATGTATCTTTTTAAAACTAGGTTAAATATATTTTTCATTGATTCCATTGATATTGACAAATTAGAGAAACTGAATGAGACAAATGATACATTTTGAGGGGGGAAATATTTAAAAAAAAATGAATTTTGCATGTTCTAGAGATTATTGTACAAACTTTTTCTCCAAATGATGTGATATCTGCCCCTTGCTTGCTTAGTTTCCATTTGATCATAAACATTGGAAATGACTTTTTAAGAAAATATATTCTGTTTTGTCACAATAAATGCTGTAAATCTGAACGAACCTGTAATCAGCATATCTGAGAGAGTCAGTAGTTTATTGGTAGTTAAGGAGCAGTGTTTCAATGAGTAATAGGAGAGAGGAGGTGGAAGTGGAACTGAAGGCCCTTGTGGGGAGTTATCTAAGGGTTAGAGCTGGCCGAATAATGGATTTTTCAGTTTGCTGGAAATTCTGAAAAATCAAAACAAAGATTTGTTTTTGGGTAGAAAAAAACTACACAAATTCACAAATAGCTCGGGGTCAACCAAAACTGCATTTTTAGGGGAATAAATTATTTGTGGAAAATAATTAGTCCAGCTCTAGTAAGGGCATCCTTGCTTGGTTTTAAAGTAAGTGATGCCTTTTGGCACAATCAACTGCACCTACCCCTTGCCAAATTCAATTCCATTATCCTGTGGTAAGTGAGCTTCACTAAAAATAAGGAAATTCTGTGTCCTCCATTCAATATGAACATGTTATAGGATGTTACAGAGATATATCTTTGCTTCTTGAAAGAAGAAAGGCTCATATATAGGATAAAAGGTCTGGTAACTATGGGCATTGCCTTCCATTGAAGGGAAAATCTGATTATTTGACGAGCCATTTTTTAAGCAGTGTGAAATGATTTCCCCTGTTTTTTCATCAGTTTCTAGGCCCGAAAAAGCTATAATCTTTTGTCTCGTGTAATTAATAAAGTCATTAGAATATTAAGCTCACATACACACCTTGAAGCAAGGAGAAGCTTTGAAATGTCACTGTAGTTGATTGCCTTGATAACTGTCTGGCATGGTTCCTATTTTGTGCCTTCAGTACTGAAGACCTATGTTATTTCTGTTTGCTTACCGCAAAGGTTCTAATCTGTGGATCAGAGCCCCAGAGAGAGTCATTGAAGAGTTCTGTACAGTTGCTGGCAAAGTGGTGTCAGGTTCTGGATTGGTGCTCTGCACACTCTCCCTCTTAGCGAGAGCACCACCGTGCAGCTTACTCAATACAAGCGCATTAAGCCGAAGGGGGAGCAGAGAGAACCCTTTGGCTGTTTGTCTGTGAAAGAGAACTGCATGTAGTTGCTCTGCTTCCTCTTCAAAGTTGGAGGTGGGGAAGGGGAGAAGAGTGGAGCTCTTCCCCTCCCAGGAAGGAGGTAGAAAGTGAGAGTGTATAGAATTCCACTTCTGCCAGAATTAATTGAAAGCCTCCCAAGACTTGAAAAACAAAACATTTGGGGTTGTGGGGCCACGGGAGAAGAGTTGTCTGAATTTGATAGTGAGAACGACTGTCCTAGGACTTTCATTTTTCCTTCATGGACAGATGTCCATGCAGAAAATATCTAGCATGTGGCTATGGTATTTATAGCTTGATGAGAAATAGACTTAAAACCTCCACCCTGAAATTGAAAATCCATACCCTTTAGGAAAATTTGGCTCAGAGCCCAAACTTTATGGCTTGGGCTTCTCTTGGGTGTCACTGAAGCAAAATTGTGAGAGGAAAAATGGGAAAAGAAGCTGGCTAAAATGTACATTGATGGAATAATCAAGTAATATCTCAGAATCTGTTGCTGTGGAAGGGAGAAAATGGAAGAATCCTGAAGACTACAGATACAACTCAGGTGCTGCTGTAACACATCCATATGCTGTTGACAACAGACATACCGGTACTTTCTAGATTAAATCACTAGAACTCCAGTTCGTCTTTTCCAAAAAACAGAGAGGACTCTATCATTTGTGTATTAATAGGTCCCTGACCCTCTGTGTGTGCCAGCTACTGCGTACAAAGTACATTTTCCTGTGCACAGTGGCAGAATTCTAGAAAGTTTCCCTGAAAACCATGTTAGAGCCTCTGAGAAAATCTGTGGCATGAATTGGCAAGCATGCCTATGCAAGTCACTTCACCTTTCTGTGCCATGGGGATATTACTTTGCAACTGAAGTTGTAAGAATTGGTTAATGCATGTAAAGCTCTATCTGTGCTAAGTATTATTAAGATGTTACTAAGCCCCACGGGGAAGGACACAGATGTACTTCGGGAAACCCCACTGGAAATGCAGAGCATTTCAGGCCCTTTATCAAAGTGCATGCAGATTCCACTGAAATAACAGAAATTTGCTTGAACAAATTAAAATTTGTATTTGGATAATTTCAATAAATAAAATGTTATAACACACTCACACGAATATCTGTGTGCTCTTACCTGCTTCAATATGTCTGTATCAGGACTTCCGAAGTTTATATGATTTAATGCTGATTTAAGCAGTGGAATTATACTGTTTATGGAAGGTGTCAATGCATGGTGCAGTTACACATTCTTTTTCTTAGCAGATGAGCAAATGATCCATACTTGGGAAGACCCTCTGTAGTGTTAATTTTGTTATGCAAATTTATGGTACAGGCAGTACCTGTGGAGTTCTTTGAGCAGCAGGAGAGTTTGGCTTTTGCCAAGGGTTTCTGATCATAATCAATTCTTGAGGCAGAGTTGTTCTCTGAGACTCAAGCAATGATGTTGGGTTGAAAGTGCTGAAAAAGGGGATTGCCCTGAATGTTGTTTTACCACTTCAGACTAGTGTATGTGTATTAATAAAATCACACTTAAAATATGCCCTGCAATTTGCACCATTTGGGGAGGCAAATGTGTCCCTCCCAACTCCCCAAGATTTTTGTACTTGCTCAAAATTTTATATGGCACCAGGGAGCCATGGCTTGACCATTCTTAAGCAGTGGACCTGTGCTAATCAATATGACCACTGCTGGAGCAGCCCAGAGTGTCCTTTTAGCTGCAACATCATAGAAATTTGACCCGGCCACCCCACAAAACAGAGGAAATTTTCATGAGTGGGATTTGTGACCTGGCCCATGGGATCAAAATACCACTCTGATTTGGCTAGGTGCCCTTCTGTCCAGATGGAGGGATAGTCGGGCCAAATGGTGGTGTGACTTGGCACATGGGGAGTGTGTTCTAATACAGCTGAATGCAGAGGACTCAGCTCCTGGAACCACTGGCACATTCACTGTATGGATAAGGGAAAAGGGAGACTCTATGTCTAACGGAGACCGTGGGTCCCTGCGGAAGGAAGAATGGGATGAGAAGGGACCAGGATGTGGTCTCTGCAAGGGAAGGACTGGAATTTGACCCCCGCCCCCAAAGTATCTGAATTGGTGTCACTTATTTCCAGACTCTATATGTGTTGACTGATGAGCCCTCCATGGGGAAGCCAACCTGTAAGGCTCCAGCCAATGCTACCATTCAGAAAAGGGACAACATGGATGTCCCAATCAGCTAGTGATATCAGTGAATGGGGAAATGTTACAATACAAGCATGTGATATGCAGCATTATTCATACACCTGTCTCCCACAGAGATTTATTAAGAAATCAAGCAATAATCAATTTAATAGTCAACCACAAGCTGCACTCAAACAGCTAATCTTAAAATCAGTTTCAGAACTCTTATCACATGGCATCTATATGATGCCAGCACATTTCAGCCTAAGATGGTCATGGGCTCTTGCTGTGATGCAATTGCATGTTGCAGTGATGTCATGTCTTGTTGCCATGTCAGGGTGCCATCACGTTGCTATGCCACTGCCATGTTTTGTGGTGAGGCATCACATGTTGCTTTCATATCTGTACGTGGTAGACCCCCTGGTGTGTGCACGTCCCACATCCCCTTACTGTTAGGGTCCCTCCCAGCTGTAGGCCTGGGATGCACAGTGGGGACAAAAAGGGGATAAAGGACTGGCCAGTAGCTGAGGTCCACTAGAACCCTACTGCCCCTACCAGCTATTGGCTAAGATCCCCAGCCAATCAGCGAGCGGCAGCCCTTCCCGCGGCCTCCGGCGCCTGCTTTCAAACTGCAAACACTGGGGGTTGCGGCGCAACTGAACATGAATGAGGAGGGACAAGTAAGTCCCGCCCCCAGAGCAGGGCACTCTAGGGCGGAGAACTGCGGCCTGGTTGCTGACTGGAGGATTCGGCTATCACTCAAAGAGGGTTAGGCTGTGTCACGCGGAAGGCTATCGGTGGGATTTGATGGAAGGCGAGTAACTGCAGCGTCCTGCGGCCCCTGGTGAGTATCGGTGCGGGCTCCGCTCCGCTCCTCTGCTGGGGATCTACCGGGAGTGGGAGCCCCCCTGAGCGCGGGCCCTGCCCTCATCGCGGGGCTCAGAAGCCCCGTTCCCAGCCCGCCCGCGGGGCTCGGTACGGTCCCTAGTTGGTGGCCACAGCGAGCGGGGCCTCGCCCCTTCTGGGGGTCGCCTCCTGCCGCCTTTCTCAGCGCTGGCGCTCCCATGGGAACACGGAGAGGGATGCGCGACCGGGCAGCAAACTCCGGCCACGGGCTTGTCTGCTGTAGCCTTCGGGTCCCACCGTTCTGCTGCCGTGGGGGCGGGGCCGCCTGGCACCCCCCTCTTCTCCCCCCCCCCCCCCCCCCAGTGCATCCGGCTGCGCTGGGGGTGGCACTGATCCTGCGAGTGACTCCCCCTCGCCCTGAGCCTGCCGGGCCCCGCTGAAGTCACAAGAGGGTGGAGAGGGCGAGCGCCCACCGCCACTCGCAGGATCCCCGGCCGCTGGAATCTAAAGATTCTTAAACCCTACTCATGTGTAGGACCGATGGCTAATGAAATACAGTAGTGACCTTGCAGGCAGTGTAGAGTGCCACTGACGGCTGCAGTGGATGTTTTCTCATTGCTGTGTAGTGAGAGCTGCTCTGGCAGAAGCAAAAGGAATTCCCTCTACTTTAGTTGATTTAAAAAACTCAATTGTTCTTCAAATCAACTTCTGGGTACGATATCTTGAGTCTTTAAAAAAGAAGAAACTTGAAATCTGGCTCTGTTGTCACAGTGGTTTATGAGCAGCTTTCTAGCAAGTTAGAACAACATCAAATTCCTCTGAACTTTGATAGTGTGCACAGGACTTCAAAAAATACATGTATTTATGGTGAGTAGATGTTAGCAACTTATGCAGGATTTGAGCTTGAAATGACCATCACAAACTTCACTACCTTTAGTTCCATGTGCAAGGTGCGCTTATTTGATCTTTTCTCTTCTAATATTAAAAAAAAAGCATGTATGTATTAACATAAATAAAACATTTCTACCAAAACACCATTCTGC